CATTTGTCAAAGCCGTTGGCGGTGAAGTAGACGTCGCCGTGTCGTCGGTGCGCAATATCATCGTACACTAAATACAAAGTTTTTGGCACTTGGCAAGCTGTATGATAAAAAGCTATTGACATTGCCACGCGTCCTCTTGGATATCCTCGAGAGCAGGAGCAAAGGTAACGTAAAGACGCGTCGGAGTCCTTACTCCGATGGCTACCTCGCCGAGCTGGAGGACTGGGGGGCACTGAAGGCTCTGAGTGCCCCGGGTGAGCCGAGGCCGAGACTGCCACTGCTGGGCAACGGCGAGGTGGGTATCCTGGTCGCGAGGCCGTTCCTCAGGCCGCTAACGCTCAGGTTGAGACCCGCGGCGCCATTCGACTGCGACGGCTGGGGGCACTTCTCGAGGTGGTGGTGATGCGAGCGGACGGCGAGTCTGCTCACGTGTACCGGTATCGGGACGACGATTCTCGGCCCGCTGTTTGACTGCGATCCTCCGGAACCGCTGCCATTGTGCCGACTCGCCGGGTTGCTCGTGCCGCCGCTCGTCAAGCCCGCCTTCACGCGCTTCCACTTGGCTCGTCTGTTCTGGAACCAGATCTTCACCTGGGAAACAGATAAGTGGCAGGGTCGGTACTTTGCTCACGTTACCTACGTTTACTTCTCCCGTTCTAGTGTATCAAAAGCGCCGTGGCGAGTAACTACCTTCGAAGATGCGGAGGCTTCCGTAACACTAACATCCGCTCTCGATCGAGCTTTACCCTTAATTACGCGACCATTTAAGGAAATTCCGATACGTGTAATTGTGGCTACTGTGGCGTTAGGGCCACATTTTCTCCTCGATAATCTAGTTGAGAGTAAAAGTAAATCGATGCGTGCGCCACTTATATCGGGTTATTATAAGTATCGTGACATGATCCATGTAGATGAAAGAATTTGCTTAAATAAATGTGAATGCTGAAAACTGCTGAATTGGTTTCGAGAATTTTACTTATGAAAAGGCTACGGCTCAGACCAAATTTTAGATCAGCGAGTGTGGCTGAATAAGTGTCCCATACGTGTTTATTAACTCAAATGTTTCACAATCGCAATTACGCGAAAAAGCTTCATATAACATGTACAATAGGCAAATTCGTATAAATATTGTTAATAATGGGAAGATCGATTATTTAAAACAACCTTAACTCAAAGAAAAACAATGTCCTTGGAAATAATTTACTCTCGATATTAATAATGTCTTTTTAGAATAAAAAAATAAATAAAAATAAAAATATTTTTACAATTAAGTTTATACTGTACGTATCATAGCTATGATAATTACAGTTATTATTATCACGATGATGATGATGATGATGATGATGATGATGATGATGATGATGATGATGACGACGACGACGATGACGATGACGATGACAACGACGACGAGGACGAGATGATAATAATGATCGATGCAGATATCAAGATTCTCTCAAACATTATAATTTTTGAATAATGCTAGAAAGCAAAGGTGTAACTAATGAAACGTTAATACTGAAATTATAAGCTTATAAAATTGCATTTACTTTCTTCGGTTATTGCTCCGTTATGTATTATTTTTACCTACTCTTCGACATACATTAGGCTTTGTGTATTTTTATTTAACCAAGTTTCTCAAGTCTCGCTAAATCAAAACAGGTTGTACATAAGAAATACATTTTTAAAAAAGTTCATGCATTAATAACTCCACTTTAGTAAGTAATATTCAACAATATCTTGAAATAATTTGCGCAATTAAGTTGCAATTATCTGCAAATTAATTTTACATATAAAACTAATTATCTTTATAGTTCCAAAAAAAAAAGTAAATAATAATTCTTAACGCTTTAATGTTATTTTCACTAACACGTAGATTATAGCATTGATTTGTTTTAATAAAAAGTTCGATTAAATGCCATTATTTAATTATTTTATTAATAAAATTTTACTTAATAAAGCTCCATTGCGGAAAGATTAAAAGGATATTTTATATGTTTGACGATGATGGAAGTAGTGATCAACTACGTTAATCTCTAAATTTCGGAAATACTCGTGAAAAGTCGAGAAATCCACTGCGAGGAGGATTAGAGAAACGGTGGAGCGAGTGCGCCTAAGGCACTACGCTACGCAATCACCCTGAGGCCCAATAGTTCGTTCTCACCTGCACTTCCGAGAGTTTGAGCGCATGCGCGATGTGGGAGCGCTCGGTGAGGCTGAGGTACTTCTTGGCGTGGAATTCCCTCTCGAGCTCCAGCAGCTGCTCGGAGGTGAAAGCGGTGCGCCTGCGTCTCGCCTTACTGCCCCCGGGGCCCCCGCTGCCACCGCTCCCGGAGCCGGCATCCATGCCCTGGGCAGCATCGGCGCCGGCGCTCAAACCCATCGACGTCGTCGTAGCCGTCGCTGTCGCGCCCTCGTCCTCGCTCATGTCCGGGGACGCGCGGCCGCTCTCCGAGCCTGCAAAATGCAAAGGAAACGACTCCTGAATGGCTAATGCGAGGTGGCGCCAAACGGACCCTAAGCTATGCGACGTGAATCTCGCGTATCCTCCGAGCTCCCCCTCCCCCCCAATCCCCATCCCCATCACCATCCCAAACACACACCCACCCCTCCCCCCACCAACCCTATAACATAACATACGCACGCGTAGTATACCATAAGGAAAGACTTCAATTCCTGTTGATAAATAAAGGACGCGCACTCTTGACGGGACATTGATATTTCTTTTCTTAACGATATTACGGACTATTAGTATCGATCCCATTATAATTGAAACCTCCCAGGAAGTGAAAGCGACGATGAATTATTTATGAGACTATAAAGCTTTAAGCGAGTCGTTCTTAAAGCTTCGATAAAATTAAGGCATTGGTTATTTAAATATTACTCATAAACAATTATTAACGAGCTCTTAAAAAATTCATAATACGACTTTATGCCGTGCAGGCATAAATTTACGAAATCACTATTCGCGATATTCGAATTAATTATAATTAAACTTTTCTAAATCGGTTTCATCTACACTCGTGTGCATCTAAATTGCATTTTATTATTCATTGCAAGGAAGTTTCTCCCCGGCTTTTGCCTAATTCGTCCGATTCCAAAACCACGTAGTTTCCAGTGAACGTAACGCCCGGAATAATGAGCGAGTCGTACGAATTAAGTCAAAGAAAAAGTTATTCCGTATAATATTATAGCAAACTGTCATACGTATCGCGATAAGTTTACAAAATGCAATTATTATCGCAGTGAGCATCGAGCGCATAAGGAGCGCGAAGCTCCGAGCTCTTTCGTTTCGTAGCACGACAACTATACATGAAGTTGTAAGTTAATTATTTCAAAGGGCTTAGGCTGTGAGTCGTCGACTTCCGGTGATGTAAGATGGTCGTTCCCTCTCCCCCCGCCCCTCTCTCTCTCACTCTCACTCTCTCTCTCTCTCTCTCTCTCTCTCTCTCGGTTCCCTCTTTCTATCGCCTCCCTTACGCGACATTAGACTTAGAAGCAGAGTAGTTCTAATCGATAGCAACTCACACGTACACGAGAAAGTATCGCGCTTCTTTGTAGGTTGGTCATTGTACCGCGCGGAACTTGGAAATACGTCATCGCTCGCTTTGTCATCGCTAAAGCCATTTGTGCAACGCGCTTATAAAGTATACCTGGAAATGTATGGTGGATTGGCGGGCCTACGCGACATTCGATTCGCTCTTTCAAAATTTAACTTTGCAGATAATGTGGTGTGCATTTAAAGATCAATGCATCGTTTATAATCTGACGGGGAGGTGGGGGAAAAATGCTTATGCAAAAGATATTCTATTCTCATTATACAATTGAACTATCGAAATCTCTAGTATTTCTGAATACGAAGCATATATATATATATATATATATATATATATTTATTTATTTATTTATTTATAAAAACTTTTTTTTAAGAATTTTAAATCTTTGTATCAACTGAGCTACTTTAACCAGCCCCTTTTTTTTATTGCGTTTCAATGTTATAATTTAATCCTCTGCTTTAATTTATAATAACACGAGTCTCAAGTATATAAAAATGCCCTATTAAAACAATAAAAACGGTCTTTAATATTAGTGAGTTTTATAAGCTTGCATATTAATGATTAAAAGATAGTTTCTTTGTTATAAAGTGTGTTGGATATAAGAAGAAGTACCTTCTGAATACTTTAAGCCAAACTCACGCGCCAAAGTTGAATTTTCCTATAATAAAACCTCTCGCTTAACGTATACCACTTAATTACATTCGGTTATAGCAGTTGATAAGTTTAATGGATGATGTATTGCGCATTTATGCATGAAAATTGCACTCCGTATGGAAATAAGGTCAATCGGCAAGGATTACATCTTTCACCATTTTCAAGCTTGGACTTGTTAATATTTATCAAGACTCAACTTTCCTTTATGCTCTTAAATTGTTGGAAATTATTTAAAAATATACTTTAATTTAACACAGTCGAGTAAAAATCATTAATTATTCAATGGGAGTACTTGTGTATTCTTATGCGTTTTTAAAAGCAGTAGAGTACATTAGTTAACATTATAATGGTTAACGTATTATAAATTACTTACTATTATTACAATTATTACACATTTACATATTATTATTATTATTATTATTATTATTATTATTAGTCTAAGTTTTAACTTGAGAATGGCATTACAATAAATCATTCATACATGTTGGATTAAATGAAATTAAATCATTTTATTTTACACGCCGCATACTAAATATATATCAAATGAGGATTTCGAAATACGATTTGAAAATGTATTACATTTATTATAAGTTAATCGATTGATTGCATAACACTTCTTGAAGCGAATATTTCGATATTTATCTTATGGCTTATAACAATTTAACCGCAATGTACGCAAATTTAATTTAATAGACGGCTTAAAAAAGGAAAAAAATTCAAGTGAAAGGTAATGAAAATTTAGCTTCCTTAACAGTATAAGTAAGCACGTATCATCGATACTCTAATAATGTACGGTATATTTCTCTATTAATTATTAAGACCAAGTGATAATTGAAATACAATTATAATCATCATACACATAAATGATTCCCTCGCATTATTGGCATTACTGATAAGAATAGAATTTCACATGAAGGCGATAATTAATACTCGAATTTAAAAATATATTGTTATTTAAACTGCAATTGATATCGATTCATTATAAACAGTATAAAGACCTCTAATATGCGGGTATAGCAATAGCAGCGAGGACGCGGTACATTTTTCTTCAAACATCAAGAGAAAGTTACGCGGACAATTGTTCACATCGTGGAAAGCCGTCTCGCCATAATTAATGGTTACTCTTCTTCCTTCTTCCCTCCACAGCGCCTTACCGTTCCTCCCCACTTCCTTCTCGCCCGCCGTCCCTCCATCCCTCCACCCCTCCCTCATACCCTATCCCTCATCCCTCATCCCTCATCCCTCATCCCTCATCAACCTTCCGCCGACACCATTCATACCAATTTATCGCTGTATGTAATAACGCAGACAATTTCAAATTAAGAACTGGCCGCGGATATGTTGCTATTGAGAATCGATGACCCGTATTTGAGAATATAATTCACGACGAGACGAGCGGCAGCGACGTCTGCATTATTGATGCATCCGATCCAATCGATTGGCCGTTTTACCGGAAGCAATTGTTCCAAGACCGTTAAAACGATTGCTCGACAGTCTCACCATCCGCGATAGAAAACGACTTTCCGAAAGCTGCATTAGCATTATCTGACGTCATCTCATCAAGCGTCGTAGCCGTAAGAACGATTCCGCTTATACCTCCGTTCGCGAGCGGACATGAAATATCAGTACTTGGCTTAACATTGGATAGGAAAGAAAAAAATCGACACTGGTAGAACGAAGCGAGTGAGAAATCGAGGAGCGATAGTGAAAGTGCTGATCGCGTTCGAAACAAAAGATCCATCATGCTACATTAGAGTGACCTTCGCCGCGGGCATGTCAAGTATGTAAATGCAGATGAACGTGGTCAGACATAATAAGAAGATGGCAATGCGACACCTACGTCTATATCTCCGTCCGTACCATTGCCCATACCTCCGTCTATTTCCATCAGGGCGCGCGAGCGAAGAAAGGCGTCGTCGTCGTCGTCGTCGTCGTCGTCGTCGTCGTCGTCGTCGTCGTCGTCGTTGTTGGCGACGACTGATCGAGGCGTGGATTATACGGTTCTACGTGCTAATCAGGTTCCAAAATCTCCTCCCCCCTCCCCTCCCCCTTCATCAGCAGTGACGATTACGATTACGACTGCGACGACGCGGACATCGAGAACGACCGGGACAACGATAGGTTTGTCATAAGCCATGGAGGCAGGAGTTCCCGGAAGGGTTCGCGACTCGCATACGTAGCCCAGGGCGGAACACATCAATAAGCGCGCCAGCGAGCAAGCGCACGTACTATGCATGCGCCTATCGTCGACCATTCATGCGCGCTTTCTACGTGATCGCCCTGGCGAGTTTCGGCGATGACGGCTTAGTCGTCTCGCCTCGGGTCGAACCATTACTATTTTATACCGGATTGGAGTCCGAACGAGCCAAGGCGCGTCTCGGCTAATTGTCGCCGTTGACACATCACCTCCTAGGTATCCTCTTGCCGATTTGTTAAGTGGTTGCACGTGACTTCGGAGCATACCGAAAAGAGGCTTGATATTATTTATCTAGCTGAGCGATTTACCGCTTCAAAGGTGCATTTCCTTTATCGTAATGTTGGAGCGATTATAATAAATGATTCCCTTAGCGTATAGGAAGAAGATTGTGTGGAATATTAGTTGATTAATTTATTTTGAATTCAGATTTCGTTTAAACTTGTTTCACCCGTGCTACGCGTGAGTGAATCTCCCGGGCCAAAACATTGCAATCGTAACTCCATAAAAGTTTAATCAATTATCAACATTTTCGTTATATTTACGGGCACGTGCTCGACAATATTAAGATTACTTCGTGAGAATTTCAGCAGAAGGTATTGTCACTTCCTACGGATGTATTTATCATGTATTCACATCAGAGGCTGTGCATTTACGATTACATGAGCTGATTACTAAGAAATCGAAAGACATGTTTGATCAAATTGTTAAATTAAATAGCTAAGAAAATCATTTGGCACTCGCGTATAAAAAAAAAAAAAAATAAATAATCTTTAAAAATTAAAAATGAAATTTAACCGAGTAATCGTAATGAACGTGAAATTCATTCTACGACACATTCCCGTCGTAATGATAATTTATTGATAATTATATTCAAATATAATTATTTTATAACAAGTATTGGCTTTTATTTCTTACCTGACTCGCTCGAATTATGTATTTCAGTCGTAAAATTATGCTTATTATGTCTTGGTTTATATTTTTGTAATTGATATTTTAGTTGTGCAATTTAGTAGTGAAATAAACGCGAAATATCATAACTAAACTACTTTCATAGTTACAATCGTAATAATTAAAAAATCATTGCAAATCATTTATTTGTTTGTAAAGCTGAAATTTCTTAAAGCATAATGACTCTATTATGTATAGATATTCTTTTATAGATTTCCATCAAGATCAGTGCGAACACTTAAATTAAAATTATATTTTTAATTTAACACGAATGTAATTATAATAAATAACTCACTCGACACATTTCATAATCATGACAAATAGCAAATAGTTTTTGATTTAGTCTTGAATTTTGTTTTACTTATTAGCATAATGTAGATTAACATATGAATTATATTTTAACAAAGAAGCGAACAATATTGGAAGATACATGTGTATATTCCGTACAAGAGTCGTCAATTTCACTAATGATTACTAATGTTGATCGATCATCCATTGTGAAACGGTGCCACCATGATTTAGCAAGCGACATTAACCTACACTAATCATTAAAGATGATACACACCGTGTCGCCAGAAAGATGCGATCTATGTCCAAACTATACGATTTCCAACGACAGATCTAATCTTACATTTGCAATTTTAAATATGAGAAAACTATTTAATCGCGTGTTCGTTCGGCTATGTAAATATTTTAATAATTCGATTGACCATTCATGTTTTTCATAATGTATTGTGTATCTTCGAATTAAATTGCCGTTTCATGTTTTGATATATTGCTATAATATTTCATTATGAATGTTATTGATTATTTGAAGGAACTTAGAATTTCAAATATTGATTGTAATTTATAGGTTAATAGCATATGTTGTATATATTGTACATTTGTATCGGCAATTATGACGTCATACAATAATTTTAGCAACGTTTACTTTTCATTAATAAAGTACACGTATGAGAGATGCTTTTGCTTATTTTTTTGTTTTCGTTCGTTTGTTCGTTTGTTCGTGTGTTTGTTCGTGTATGTGTGTGCGTTAGTGTGTTCGTGCTTGCGTGCGCGAGAGCGCTTGTATGCGTTCTGTAAGAGTCGTCAAACCAATGGATTATTACTTATGAAATAAAAGCGACAAAACTACAAGAATTAACATATTTGTAATATATCTATTATTAAGCACGAAGAAGAAGAGAAAAAAAGTATATTAATGAGAGAATCGGAGATAATTTGATGTTCCGTATTGTTCGTAATTTGTTGTTGCGTAAAACAGTGCATGAATAATTTCACGGAGAAGCTAATTCATGACATTCTAATATCGTGTGTAATGTTGAAAGACTGGTAGTTGTAAGATCTTTTGTATGCTAAGTAAAGGCGATGACGATGCTAATCATTGTACATGTATTATACCAAAATCAATACACTGCCTCTCTATTTCCTATATTATACACCTCATTATATTTGTTGCATATTTAGAATAAAATTGCAATTGCATTAAGAACTCCCGGTTCGCCCACATATCACTATTTCACTAGTCGCCCTAGTGAATGTGGATTTAAACAGAATGCAATTGTCGTAAAAATTCATTTAATATTGTTCAAATAATATTTTGAATATACTGGATAAATATTGTCGAAAAATATTCTGCAAATGATTGTTAATTTCGAAAATAATTTTCCTTACTTTAATATATCACCGGCCTGGCATTTTTCAAAGTAATGTTGAATAATGTAATTACTGAGCGTAAATTAAGCAAAAATATGCGGTTTAATGGTAATATGTATTATCTGCAATAAATTGCCTCAGAGAGTAAATATAACATTGAAAAGAAAGAAAGAAAGAGGTCGTTATGCTGTATAAATAATATATTACCTACATTGCAGAATGATAATGTCATCAAAGGAATTTTCTGAAGCCAAACCTGTTTCGAAAAATCAACCGTTCCATGCTACGACAACTAAAAGTTTTAATTCACTACTAAAGACAGATTATTCGAATGCTGTTTCAAGGAAATTTTAGGAGCCATGAAAACCCATGAAGAACGTAATAGCTTAATGAGCGGTTGTGTGTGTCCCCCGTCAGACCGGGAAGAAAAAAAAAACAAAACAAAACAAAAAATGAAAACAAAAAAAAAAAAAAAAAATAAAAAAAAAAAAAAAAAAAAAAACTAAAGAAACGGAATAAATTACGGAGCTATTAATGAAATGACGCATCGCGAGTGAAATCACACCAATACAATGAATATACGCATCTATTTAGATCTGATGGCTTCGTTTCCTTATTCAGTGAGAAGAATGACTGAGAATTAGTTTGAGTCACCAAAAATTATCAAATAATGCAAATATCAAACAGCGTATAATTAATATCTCGAATTAATTGTTAATGGCAATCAAATCTATTACTACAGGCATAAGTGTGAGATTGATTACGAGATGAATATTAATGAGAAAATAGAGAAAAGGGGTCAACTATTCGATAACATTAAACTTATCATAAATAAATATTTCAACTAAAATTATTTTTTACCAATTACCTCGCCGTTCAACTACAAATATACTTAATAATTGATTTTAATAGCGACATTCGACTCATCTCCAATTAAATGATCAAAATCATTGTGTTAAGCGGTAGTGCGTAGGATCGGACTGAAAACATGTAATGGGCTCTCGACGATCGTCGAGGCTTCAAAATCAATAAATTATCGTGCACTTTACGATCCCGTACTTTCAACTTGTTGAAACTGAAATAAATAAATATCTTGCCTCGCCTCATCGCGCAATTACCCTCGTGCACGCTCAAGCTAACTAAGCAAAGCGCGCCGACCATTCCAATCAAACTCAAACTCGTTTGCTCTTGAAGAGGCGCTTCACCCCCCCCCCCCCCACCACCCCCCCAACCCACACCCCCAAGGGACAAGCACTGCCGCCCTCGTAAACACTGATGCACCAGTAGTGCCGGGATCGCGCTCGCTTAGTTTTTGTCGTCGTAACAGTCGACAGTGTCGCGGTATCTCGCGCCCTACTCACCCTGCTGAGACTTGGAGAGGTCGTGGACCGGGGAAAGGCTGCCCTCGTCCTCGCTGTCGTCGGTGAGACCGCCGGCAACGGAGGAGAGAAGTCGGGCGGTGCTCCTATGACCCGGATAGGCCGTGCTTTGGAGATGTCCCAAGCTCAACTGCTGCTGCTGCTGTTGATGATGTTGCAGTTGTTGTTGCTGCTGCTGCTGCTGCTGTTGTTGTTGTTGTTGTTGTTGTTGTTGTTGTTGCTGTTGCTGTTGCTGTTGCTGTTGCTGTTGCTGTTGCTGCTGCTGCTGATGGTGGTGGTGATGATGGTGGTGGTGATGATGACCCGTGGCGTAGCTAGTCAAGTGAGAGGCAGGAAGGCAGGCTCCCGTCGAGCCGTACACGCGCATCGGCTGCAGCCAGGCACTGTAAAAGCTCAGCGGCATCGCCAGACCTGCGGCCAGGATCCCGCGTTAGATAAGAACCAATGGCCTAGGGCGTTTGCCTCTCCTATAGCTCTCTCTACACCCTCGACCCTCGACCCTCGACCCTACTTTCTTATTCCAAGCTACCAGCAAGTGGCGGCTCTTACACTGTTGGCTTCCAAGACCAGCCATAGCGGGTTATTTTCAAACTGATCCCATTTCTATAGATACGCGCCGCATTATGTGCGCTTCATTATGCGCATGTAAATGTAAAAGACCGATAATAATAGGCTAGACTTATTATTGCATGGAAGCTATGTAACATTTCTTTCGTCGGCCTTTTACTGAAATTGCCACTTTACCTTAGCTTTTCATCGCTTATTACTTATCGAGCCATCCTATCTAGGGATTCTTTCTCTTTCCTTTTCTTTTCATTCATTCTGTCTTTCTTCCTATTGTTTTTCGTCTTTTCTTTCCTTTTTTTTCTTTTTTTTTTTTCTTTTTTCTTTTTTCTTTTTTCTTTTTTTTTTTTTTTTTTCACAACAACAGGCTTGATTCGTAATTCGATTCGCATTGCTGTCTCTGAAAGTATGAAAATACGGTCTATCGGAACGATGGTGTGAGCGATCCTCTTCGTCGTAATAGCACGATTAATCGATTGCCTTGCTTAACCTTAATTAATTTGCCTTCGTAGAAATTTTGATGCTCAGATTTTGACGGTCTCGCGCGTGAGATTATAATTTAATCGATCGTTATCATTAACGCAACATTATCATAATCGTGCATTAATAGCTTCACCGACTATTCCACGAGCTTGTCGTCCAACGTTATCAAAATTTTCTTCTAAAGAATCACCGAGCCAATACCGAAAATACATACTATAGAGTACACAAGTCTCTGATATTCGCGTCCAGAGTGATTTTATTAATAATTAATTAATGCCTAGGGAATAATAGTAAAGGAAATATCGTGTACAGGAATAATAGCCTATTATTATTATTATTATTATTATTATTATTATTATTATTATTATTATTATTGTTGTTGTTGTTGTTATTTATTATTGTTATTATTGTTATTATTGTTATTATTGTTGTTGTTATTATTATTATCATTATTATTATTATTATTGTTATTATATAAATCGTGAATGAATATGGCTGGGCATGTTGTGCGAGGGTTTCATTAAATTGGCATTTGTCATTGATGAAAGCTCATTGAAATACAAGGCGCAATTTAAGTCGAGGCGAATGATTTTGGCCGATGGAAAACAAATTGACAAAGGCAGATTTCCTAACAGCGGATCGAGGTAAAAGAAAGATAGCGGCAGACCTGGCAAAGCACCGGTGGCCGTCGCAAGACAATGCTGCTGATAGAAAAATTCTCTCTGTCGATTGCTCTCCTCGCGGCCCTTGTCGCCGTAATTGTCCTTGCTGGCCTCCTGCGCACCCTGTCCCCTATTACCACCAATCAGGCTCTCGATCGTGAATGGCTTGGGATTGGCGCGAATTTTCAGGTCCATCGTCTCAATTTCCTCGCTGGCGGAGCCGACGTCCAGGTCCGTCTCCTCCGTGATCGGCTCCATCTCTTTCATGACGAACAACGGGATAATCGTCGTCGGCTGATGGCTGCGCGTTCTTACATCCGAATTGTCGATGGACGATCGATTCGCCTGCCTCACCGAGCTTCTTCGTCCTCGTCGTCGTCGGCTCGCGATGCTAATGCATCGAAGGCGCGCTAATTGAGTTTCGTTGCTGATTCGTTCGAGTGGGCCACTTCAGCTACATGGCCCTATAAATCATTGCTCGACGATCGGTTACCAGCTGCCGCCAACTGTTACCCAAGTCTAACTAATTGCCAGTCTCCCGCAGGCGATTCATCGCGGACAGCCGGATCACTGCTTTGCAACAACCCGCGAATCGATCAACGACGCGCACTCTGGCACACACAATCGCACTCGTGTCGTACAATCCATCCGCCCGGGATGAACTTTGCCTGGGGGAGCCGAGAAACGGAGGAAAAGCAGCACCCCGGTTTCTCGTCACCAGCTGACGCGACTGAAACGAACACTGTGAGTTCCGAGAGTGGCCGAGTAACGCGATGTGCTACGATGCCAAGTACTCAGCCGACTGTGGCTCGCGCTCGAGCTGCTGCCGGTGAGAAAAGCCGGGGGGGTGTGGCCTCGGATCTCGCTCTCTTATTCGATGTCGAAAGGCCAATGATAGGCTCTCGACAAATCTGCGGACGCGCAATCGCCATCTTGGACGCCCTGATCTCTCCACAGTGGCACGCCACCCGCGTTATGAGTAGTAACGTAGGGAGACAGAGAGAGAGAGAGAGAGAGAGAGAGAGAGAGAGAGAGAGAGAGAG